CAATTATTTGATTATGTATGTTTATGTCATATGTATATGCTTATGTATGCTTATATACAAGTGAAATGAATGACAGCAATGACACAAGGGAAAGGAGGGAGGAATTGGAATTATTTTGTTGTTATATGGTACTCACACTACCCATGAAGTGCTATAGTGTTATATAAAAGCGGGCTGGGATTAGCTGTAAACAGATACTGCAAACTCCAGCACAACTGCTAAGAAGGTTTATAAAAGTATAACTGATATGCTAAGAAAGGAGGGAAAATTGAATCATATGAAATTAAAGCCACAAAAGGCAGAGAAAGAGTGAAAGACAAAAAACAGGAACAAAGAACAAGGGCAAAAAATAGACAACAGTAACAAATATTATAGATAGTAATCCAACTATATCAATAATCACTTTTAATGTCAACAGTCCAAATGCATCAATTAAAAGATAGCAGAGACAATCAGAAATGAAGACCCACTATATGTTGTTTACAAGAAACCCACCAAATATAAAGACACATATAGATTAAAAATAAATGAAAGGAGAAAAATATACCATACTCACAAAAACCAAAAGAAATCACACAAAGTAATTTCAGACAGAGAAGACTTCAAAGCAAGAAAAGTTCTCAGGGATAAAGAGGACATTATATAATGATAAAGGAGTCAGTTATCCAAGAAGGCATAACACTCCTTAATGTATATGCTCCTAACAACAGGGCATCAAAATATGGGAGGCAAAAACTGATAGAACTACAAGGAGAAATAGATGAATACACTATTATAGTTAGAGACTTCAACACCTCTCTACAATAAATGAACAGATCCAGCAGGCAGAAAATTAGTAAAGACATAATTGAACTCAACACCATCAATCATCTGGATATAATGGACATCTGTTGACTACTTCAGCCAGCAACAAAAAAATACACAATCTTCCCAAGCTTAGATAGATCATTCACCAAGACCACATTCTGGGCTATAAAACACACCTTAACAAACTTACATAAATAGAAATCCTACAGTATCTGCTCTCACACCACAATGGAATAGAAATCAGTTATAGAAAGATACATGGAGATTAAACAACATACTTCTAATACCACATGGGTCAATGAAGAAATTGCGAAAGAAATTAAAAATAGTTTTAACTAGATAGAAGTGAAAACACACTGATTAAAAATTGTGGTATGAATTAAAAACAGTGCTTAGAGGGGAATTTGTAGCATTGAATGTATATACTTATATAAGTTCTAAAATCAATTAGCTAGGCTTTCACCTGAGGAAACTAGAAAAGGAAGAACAAATTAAATCCAATGTAAGCAGAAAAAAAGAAATGATAAAAACTAAAGCATAAATCAGTAAAAATTGAAAACAAAAGCTGATTATTTGAAAAGATCAATATAATCAAGAAGCTTCTAGTCAGGCTAACTAAGAAGATAGAGGCCACAAATTATTAATATCAGAAATATGGGACATCATTACAGCTCCCATAGACATTAAAAGGATAATAAAGGAATACTGTAAATAATTCTATGCCCACAAAATTAGTAACCTAAATGAAATGGACCAATTCCTTGAAAGACACAATTTGCCAAAACTTACACAAGAAGAAATAAAATCTGAATAGACCTATGTTTATTAAAGACATTGAATCAATAATTAATAACCTTCAAAACCAAGAAGTACCAGGCCCAGATGGGTTCTCTGGTGAATTTTATCAAATATTTAAGGAAGAAATTATACCAACCCTCTACATTCTCTTTCAGAAGATAGAAGCAGAGGGGATACTTTGTAACTCATTTTATGAGGCCAGCATCATCCTAATTACAAAACAAAACAAAAAAATAACAAGAAAACTACTGACTGATATCTGTCATGAACACAGATACAAAAATCCTCAAAAAACATCAGCAAATTATATATATATATGAAATAAATATAAAATATATTAAAAGAATGATATACCACAACCAAGTAGAATTTATCCCAGATATACAATGCTGGTCCAACATTCAAAAATCAATTAATGCAATCCATCACATCCACCGGCTAAAGAAGGAAAATCATGTGGTCATATTAATAGATGCAGAAAACACATTTGACAAAATCCAAAACCCAATCATGCTTAAAACTCTGAGTGAACTAGAAATAGAGGGGCACTTCCTAAACTTGATAAAGAATATTTACAAGAAAATCTTCAGCTAACATTCATACACAATGGTGAGAAACTCATAAATTTTTCACTAAGCTTAGCAACAAGGCAAGGATGTCCTTTTTCACCACTCTTTTTCAATATCATACTGGAAGTCCTGGCATATGCAATAAGAAAAGAAAATGAAATGAAATAAAAGGTATACTTATTGGGAATAAAGAAATAAATTTGTTTGCTAGTGACATAGTTATCTATGTAAAAAGTAAAAAAAAAAAAATCAGCAAAAAGCTCCTGGAACTAATCAATTATAGCAAAAGCTGGAGATACAGGTGAATAAAAAGTCAATTGATTTCCTATGTATCAGCAAGAACAAGAGGAATTTGAAATTATAACACAATGCTATGTACATTAGCACCCCAAAAAGTGAAATACTTAGGTATATACCTAATAAAAAATGTGCAAGATTTGTATGAAGAAAACTATAAAACTCTCAGGAGTAAAATCAAAGAAGTAAGTAAATGGAGAGCTAGTCCCTGTTTACAAATAGAGAGACTCAATATTATCAAGATCTTGGTTCTTCCCAACTTTATATACAGGTTCAATGCAACCCCAGTCAAATCTCAGCAAGTTATTTTGTGACTATCAAAAAACTGGTTCCAAAGTTTATATAGAGAAGGAAAAACCCAGAATAATCAACACAGTCCTAAAGAAGAAAAACAAAGTCAGAGGACTGACACTACCCTAACTCTAGACTTACTATACAGCTACAATAATCAACACAGTGTGGTATTCATGGAAGAAGTGACAAGTGAATCACTGGAATGGAATAGAGAAAGAAATAGACCCACCTGAGTATAGTCTACTGATCTCTGATCAAGGAAGAAAGGTAATAAATGCAATGGAGAAAAGATAATCTTAACAAATGGTATTGGCACAACTGGACATCCACATGCAAAAAAAAAAAAATGTCGACACAGATTTTTACACCTTCCATGGAAAAACCAACTCAAAATGGATCACAGACCTAAAGTACTATGCAGAACTATTAAACTCCAAGAAGATAACGAGAAAGTCTAGATGACTTGGGTTTGACAATGACTTTTTAGATGGGACATCAGAGGCACCATCTATGAAAGAAAGAATTGGTAAACTGGGCTTCATCAAAATGTAAGTTTCTCCCCTGTGAAAGACACTGTTATAAGAATGAAAAGACAAGCCACAGACTAGGAGAAAATATTTGCAAAGACACATGTGACAAAGAACTGTTACCCAAAATATACAGAGAAACTCTTAAAACTAAACAATGAGAAAACAAACAACTCAATTAAAAAATGGGCCAAAAACCTTAACAGACACCTCACCAAAGAAGATAAACAGATAGCAAATGAGCATATGAAAAGATGCTCCACATCATATGTCACCATGGAAATGCAAATTAAAACAGCAATGAGATACCACTATACACCTGTTAGAATGGCCAAAATCCAGAACACTGACAACACCAAATGCTGGTGAGGATATAGAGCAACAGGAACTTTCATTCATTGCTGATAGGAATGCAAAACTTTCCAGTCACTTTGAAAGACAGTTTGGCTTCTTAAGAAACTGAATATAATTTCACCATACTATCCAGCAATAGCTCCTCTTGATATTTCCCCAAAGGAGATGAAAACTTGTATCCACGCAAAAGCCTGCACATGGATACTTACGGAAACTTTATTCATAAAACAGGGATTATAAAGCATCCACTGGGATAAGGCCTAATTGTGATCCACAACTAGCAGTTACTGTTATCAGCAGCACCCTATGCTAGCCCAGGAGGAAGCTGCTGCTAACCAGCCCATATAGGGTTGCCACCTAAAGGGTCACATCTGTGCCCAAAACCTGGGGGAGGAGGGCCATGAACAAAGGGCACCACGTGGAAGCCTGGATGGTCTGACCAGGGATAGCTGAGTTCAGGAGCCAGAGAAGAGGGAGGGCCTGGGGCAAGGTGGGGCCACAGCAGACACTGTGGGAGGCCCACCAGCTGCAGATACCCTGTCTATGACCTGCCTCTAGAGGCTGCCGCTATGACCTTCTGTCCAGACCCCGAGGCCCTACCTTTCCCCATTCAGACAGTGCACCCTCAAAGCCAGCCTCGGATATGGTGGAAGAAGCAGCGGACATGGTGCCGAGGGCCTGAGTCTGTAGGCCAACTCTGTCCTGAACCACCTTTGTTGTTCAGAAAGGTCAAGGCCAATACCAAGGTCATATTCAAGTCAGTGCATAAACCAAGATCCACCCTGGCTGGACTCCAGAGTGAACACTTCCCACTGATTACACAGCACGCAGTGCAAGCTCCCTGGTGCATAGCAATGCCTCTGGGTGGTGAGGCACGAGCCTGTGCTGGCACACAGAGGGTCCCACCAAAGGCCTGGTAAACCAAGGCAGGATGATCTGCTCCAGAATGCAAGAACGCAGCAGACAAGCAGAAGGGGGCCCGCTGGCTCCTCCCTTCTCACCCAAGCTTCAGGAACCGGGCTCCTGTTTGGGTTTGGGGCACCCAAACCCCAAGACCCAGTGGCCCATGAGGCAGAAGGTGCTGATCAAAATTGCCATCCCATCTCCTTCGCTTGATTGTGAATCTTCTCAGAGGAAAGGCCAAGGAGGGAGCTGACGGGAACCGTCAATCATTTCTGCAGGAAGGGGAGAAGCCTCCCTTGGAAATTAAGGGGCGGCTGTTGACAGGCCAGACCATCAGCACGCCAGCTGCCTAATGAAGCAATAAAGGCCTTTGTTCTCCCCACTTCTCGCTGTCCTGCTCTTACATGTACAATTATTACAAAAATCAAAGAGAGGAATGTTGCCTTGAGATATGATTTCCATATTGGTATGGATTTTATTATACAAGCCGTACAATACGTTCCATTATCATTTTGATTATACGCGCCTTTCATTTGCACTATTGGACCATTATCTGCAGTACATTCATTACATTATAAGAAACTGGAACTCTATCCTTCAGATGAATTGTAAAAAAGGATTTCTATTTTTGCAGATTGATATTTCAGGAGAGAACATTAAACAGCAAACATTATTTGTAAAGTTTGGGTTTTTTTTAACATAAACTCTTAAAAGAAGGAAATAACCCTGATATTTCTAACAGACAGAAGAGCCCCAGGCTAGATGCAATAAATGATTGCAATTTAGAATGTGTGTACTATTAGGGAGTCGTGATTAAATTGTAAGTTCCTTGAGAGAAAGAAAGTCAAACAGATGAAGCTGGGGGTTCGGCCTGGTGGTTGGGAGAGAGCAGATCTTGTACTTGGAGAACAGAAAGACTCAGCTTTAACCCTGGCCTCCAGATTAGGAGGCTGGATTCTCAGAGAGCAAGGGAAGTTTCGGGGTGGAGCAGGGCAATGGTTATCCATGCCACGGGATGGGACGCTTGGGGTGGCCAAGTTCATTCCTCCAGATAGAGACCCCCAGAGGAGGGGTCTTCTGGTTGTGACTTGGGAGAGCCAGCTGAAACCTTTCGGAGGGACTCATGACCCCCATAGGCCTCCCAAGTATCAGAGGCCAGGACCTCAGCCAGAGAGGCACCCACAGGAACAGTGGGAAACCAAAGGAAGAGATGAAGAGAGAGCAGGGGGAGAGAGCAGACCGGTCCATGCTGGGCACTCGCTCTCTGTGCGGCTCCCAGCCTCCCATCACCAGGAGTGAAGCAGAGCTCAGCCTGCCGCTTCCTGCTGCTGGGACTCCACAGGCTGCGGTCCGGGCAGACCCAGGTGCAAACTTGGCTCTGCCAAAGTCTAGGAGCTGTGTGTCCTTGAGAAAAATCCTTTACCTCTCTGACTCTGTTTCCACATTGATAAAACATAGTTATATCTCATCTAAGTTGGTCACAAGTTCAAGGTGACCCAATAAGCTATGGGTGGGAAAACCCCTTGAGAAGGATAATGCTGTTTATATTATATTAATAATAATGACATAATAATTTACCCACTATTACAAATACAATTACTTTTCCCAAGTCAACCTTTCTCCACTTAAGTGTCCCTCCATCATTCAGGGCCACCTCTGCGGTGGGGCCCTTTCTGATCTCCCAGCCGGAGGAGCCCTGCCCTCCTCTACCTCAACATGGGGCACCTTCTTTCTCTTGAACAACTTTTCCCTGCTGCCCTCATGTTAGATCAGAATTTTCAGACTTCGGGTCACAGTCCATTAGTAATGAGTCGTGAAATCAATTTCAAGGTTGCAACCAGCACTTTTTCTTTTTCAATAAAATAGGCAGGAATAGAAAATATCAGAGTACATAATGCAAAGTAAAAGTGAATATTGTTTCATGACTTTCTGCTCCAGACCACACAGGAATGTGCTCTTGGTCACATGTGACCTGCATTTCTTCTGATGGATCGCTGATGAAGCACTTGAAATCCACTCCATCCGAGTCTGCGTCCCTGAGGGCAAAGCTTTATATCCAGCTCTGTGGCTCAGAGACCAGCCGCCAGCTCAATGAGTCCAACACAAGTTTGTTGAATGAATCTTCATTATTATAGTTACTATATTACTGCATGATTTACAAGTTGGACCTGTTTGGGGCCAGGAAAAGTGTGCAATTACTGTCTTAGCTGATGGGAAGATCCAGGTCATTATTATCTGTTCCTGCAGAAGCAATTAGAACTCTTTAGAAACAGTTCTTCCACGTGCATCAGGAATCACCCAAATACGCCCGCCTCATTAGCTGCAAGCCTGGGAGGTTTAAACATCTCCTCTTCCGTCCCTCCCTGCAGCCCACCTGGCTGTGCATGGGGCCGACTCAGTCTTCAGAAGATCCTTTTATACACTGTTATATTGATTTTTAAAACATTTTTAGTGGACACAATGAAAAGCTTGCCCAGGGAACTACCTTCAACTTGGAGTTGAAAATCCATTCCTTAACCCCTTCCTGTCTAGGACCTACCTTGCCACAGAGTGACTCGGGGCTGCAGCGGGACCAGACTTTACTCTTATGCTTCTCTAACCCTTTTAGGATAAATCTATTGATTTTTGAATAAACATTTTCATCTTCCCATTCTCTCCAGCTTCCTAATTGCTCGATGGGGTGCCTCCTGGGTGTGTTGCATGTTGATCTTTACCTCATTAAAAAAAAAAAACTGATGTTATTTTTAGAGCTCATAGCTCTTTATTTATGTGAACCTATGTCTCAAGTACAAGTTCATCAATTACTTTAATTCCCACTAAATGTGGAGCTGGATTTCAAGTGGTGCTGGAAGGTCAATGCACCCTTTTAGCTTCAGTTTAAATCTCGATGAGGATCGGAGCCAAGGGCTCCTAGCCTTTCTCTGCTTTCACCCGTCACCAGGCCAGGGCCCCAGCCAGCAAGGCTTCCTAAACCCTCGGGGAGGACAGGGCCTACTCGGGGCTGCCAGGGAGAAGGCAGCCCAAAGAACCCCTTTACCTGTGGGACACCCTGTGCAGCTTCAGCCTCTGCCCTGCTGCTCAGGACTGGGGGCGGCCTGCAGAAAACATCCGCAGCCCTCTGGCCTTCACAGGGGTGCTCAGCCGGCATGGCACGTTCAGGGGGGCACACCACCTGCCCATGACTAGACCCCCTCACCACACCCGCCTGGACTCCCCAGAGCCCACCTGACAACCTTCTCTGCACTTCCACCCACCAGGCTTGGCAACCCAGATACCTTAGCAGAGATGGGGAGGTCACAGCAGCATGAGGAGGTCAAAGCTGCAAGCCCCCAAATATCCAGGTAGTGAGTGCCCACCACGTGCCAGACTGCAGTCCAGGTGAGGGGCACAGCTGCTGCCTGGAGGGGGAGACTGTTCTGGGAGCCCCAGGAGCAGCACCAGCGCTGCAGTGCAATAAACCCAGGGCACCAGCACGGGGGCAGGGAGGCTTCTGCAGATGGCGACCCTGGGCTGAGGGTTGAAGGAGAGAGCAGGACAGGTTGGGGCAGGGGCATCAAAGGCCTTTTAGATGCTGCCAGGGGCTAAGGACTCAGATAGGAAAGTGCCAAGACGGAGGAGTCGGGGTCCTGGGTGGCGGGGGCTCAGCAGAGATGGGGTTTCAGAGCTGGGCATGTCCACGTGGAAGAGGCACCCAAGAGATGCACCCCAAGAGGCAGGAGGAGGACTTCAAGCAGAGGTGCGAGGGGCCCCGACTGTACAGGGCGGCCCCGGGAGAGGGGCCTGGGAGGGAGCAGGCAGGCAGCCCGGAGGAGGGACACGGAGGGGGCAAGCCTGACAAGGGCCAGACAGGCCAAGGGAGGGGAGGCTGGGGAGCACCCCCGGGTCCGGATGTGAAGGGGCAGGCGCGACCTGGGCCAGGACCGTGTGAGGAGCAGACGTTAGACGGCGGGTAGGGGGCCAGGGAGGACCCAAGAAGGAGGGTGTGCAGGCAGCCAGTGGGTGGGGGGACCGGGAAGGACCCAGGAAGGAGGGTGCGCAGGTGGCCAGTGGAGATGCCCCAGGGAGCTTGTCTGTAGCAGCACATGCTGGACAGAAGGCCTCTTACCAGGAGGAGACGTGGCTGGGAACGAGGAGCCGCCCGGAGAGAGAAGAGAGGGGAGTTCAGACATGGAGGGACACCCCGGAGGAGAGGAGGGCAGACGGGATGCGAATGGACATCAGCACTTCCCAGGCTGTGGCTCTTGGGCCCCGGAGGCGTCATCAGGGGCACAGCTGTCGGCCAAGAGGAGGCAGCGCAGGGTCACAGAAGCCGAACAGGTTCTTCGGAGCACAACCAACTGCTCAGGACCCGGCCCAGGCCGTCTTGGGGCCAGTCACACTCAAAGGAAACAGGGATCTGACATCGGGGGCAGCGAAGGCCGGGGAGGAAGGAAGGGCGGAGCTGGGAGACTGGGCGCTCTGCCTGTCACTGGGTCGTCAGCAGACTTTTTCTGTGAAGAACCAGAGAGTAGATATTTTAGGCTTTATGGACAGAGAGAGAAAATCAAGGATGTCATATAGGGACATATATTACAAGAGAAAAACAAATATAACACAAGCATTTTTATTGATGAATTCGTGGTGTATTTTTGGTTACAAATATTTCTCAGCTCACACAAAAATGGGCAGCAGGCCCCTGGTCTAGAGTGTGGACAGTTCAAGATGTGAGTGAGTCCTGGCCCCCTGAGAGGGGAAGACGTGAGGAAGCTGCGATCCAGCAGGCGGAGGTGGCCCGAGGAGGTGTCCAGGGACGCAACAGGCAAGCAGAGGTTCAAGGTCAATGAGGACAGTGCGCGGCCAAGGGGGTGGCTAGGGAGAAGGGACAGTTTGCATCCAGGGGCAGAATGGCCCGGGGGGTGCAGCTGGAAGGGACAGGCCCCACAGGGCAGGATGCGGGACTGGTAGTCCCTGAGGGACCCCCACCCTATCTGAGCAGGGATGGGGCCCGCTCAGACAGACACTGGGAAAGATCTCGGGCTCCAAAGTAGAGAAGGAGTTGAGGGGTTCAGGCTGGAGTGTGGGGAGACCATGGCACCGGCCAGGTGGATGGTGAGAGCCTTCACTGAGGCCAGCCCCAGGGCTGCAGCGGGGGCCTGGGCAGATGACAGGGGGCACCCACTGAAACTCATCAGAGAGAACTGGCCCAGAAAGACCTGGCCAGGGGTCTTCAGCGGAGGTGACCAGTGACCCCTCAGGAAAGGCAGACAGAGTGCAGAGGAATAGGGACCAGTCACCCAGAGCCACCCTCAGAGAGCAAAGGAAAGTGGCATCACAGGAAGAGAAGTTGGCCAGAGGAAGGAGCCGCCAGCCGGACAGGGCTCCAGGCCCACACACACAGGCCAGGCATCCCGTGCCCAGCCCCAGGGGCAGCCGGGAGGGAGGTCAGAGCTGTCTCAGGGGAAGCTGAGGGTGTAGAACCAGGACAGGAGGACAGACAACTCTTCCCAGAAACTTCCCTGTGAAAGGGAAGAAAGATTTGGGGCTGGCATCTAAGGACAGGTGCGGAAGCTGGTGAGAGGCCAGGAGAGAAAGGAGGTGAAGAGTGACTGTACTGATAGGAGCCCCTCCCCTGGTGCCCAGGGGCATCGAATACCCGACAGCTCGTACGACTCAGGGTCGCTGTTGGGAAGCTAAAGAACCAAGTCCCATGAAAAGCCTTGTTTCTCCTAAGTACTATGCCCACCCTTTGTATTTCTTTTGTGAAACTGAGTGAATTTGACAACTAAACAGCCCCTCTTTTTGCTTTGTCCCCCAGGAAGCTCAGAGCTTAGTCTGCAGGCCAAATCTAATAAGTGTATGGAAAAATGGGACTTGCAGATCAGAATTATTTTCTCCCTTGGCCATATCAACTCCTCTGTCTATATCTTCTGCTGTCCTCAATTCTGTTTTTTATTTTTAAGTTTGTGTCTGTATTCTGTTGTTTTCTTCTAGTAGGCTGCTTTGGATGTTTTGTGGAATGACGCCTTGTGCCTATGAGTGACTGTTTCCAGCAGGACCCTTCCCCAGAAACCTTGGCCACCTTGGACCTCTCGGAGGGCACCCCAAGGGGCACTGGGGAGGGAGCTGTCTGTTCCCTGCTTGCATCCCCATGACCCTCACAGCTCTCCGAGCAGAGCTGCTGCTCCTCAATTACTGCTTACACATTGCTGAGCCAAAGGAGAAAAAGCCAGTGTGATTTCTAACTAATCTTGAATAAGTCAGATATAGGGCTTTTTTTCCCCACCTCTGGGAAGATTGTCAAATGAAACAATGTGGCTTTGAGCTTCTGACAGATGCTAATGAATTGTTGTTTACATTTTTGATTTACTGCCTAAACAAAGATAAGACATGCTCTTGAAAACACATTGAATGCACAATCCAAACACATCCATTAAATCTGTCACAATAAACATGACAGCTTTCTTCTAACCTAACAACTGGCATGCCTCATTTGCATATTAATGAGAAAACTGGGATCAGCCTGCACAAATTACTTATATCTCATGAAGGGGCTGCTCCTGATGACAGCGAAGCACTTGGGGGTGTAAATACACCAAGTTAATACCTTTGCTGTTTTGATGCCTTTTCTACCTCTTTGCTTGGGCAGCCCTGGAGTCCTCGATAAGTTACCTCTGCCCCCTGTGTGGGTCCAGGGATCCACGATGGGCATCAGTGTGGTCTCAGAAAGAGCCGGGTCCACCTCTAAAACTGTCAGCACTCCAGGGATACTTACTGAGCATGTACTATGAGCCGTTCAGCACTTTGCAACTGAGGCGTTGCTTGATCATCGATTGCATCAGAATGAACCAGAAGGAAAATATTAGATATTTATTGAGTACCAACTAGAACTTCCACGTGCATCAGCACATGGAAACCTCACATGAAGCCTTTGAACAGGGTTGACAAAAGCAAAGGTTACATGCCCTCCCTCGCCTGTGGCAGACATGACTAATCAATTCCAGCATTCCTTCCAGCAGAGCCTGGAATCACACTCACAGTCCTTCCCAAGACTCCAGGAGGCTCCTGCCATCCACACGGATCCACACAAGCAATGAAACCCACCGGCATGGGCCTTAGGATAGGTGTGGTTGTTGCCATTAGAGAAATGAGAGAGCAGCTCAGAAAGGTAGGGGGCCTGCCCAGGCCACCTAGTAAGAGGAGAAGTCAAGATTCAAGCCTGGATCCTCCAGCACCTGGCCCCGTTCTCTCTTCACTGGTCTTCCATGGCTTCCCACCCCGTGCTCCCCCTCTTTGCTAGCTCCACCTGCTCTTGGGTAGGATTAAGTGGGTTATGATACAAAGTATCAGTAACAAGATAACTAAGATTTAAGTAGCCAGGGAAGATAATGTTTCCAGGGGGGGAAGTCCAGGCTCTAACACGACACTCTAGGAATCTCTTTGGGGTCACCACTTCTGAATGTCTGCAGGAAGTCCTGCCCTCCCTGTACATCTCAGACAGACTTGGGTCTGCAACCTTACTCCAGGAGACCTTGGTCTATTTACTTCGTTTCTCTGAGCCTCGCCTATAAAGGAAAATGATAGTTTTCTTCTCCTCCCACTGTTGGGAGCCTAGAAGAGATCTTGCTCTAAATAAGAGCCTGGCACATAGTAAGTGCTCAATAAATAGTGGCTTAAAAATGCCAAACCATCAGAAACTGTCGACAACAACAGATCCCAGGTTACAAGGGGCTATATGGGACTGGGCATTGTTTTTCCAGGTTATTCCACCTGGAATTATTTCACAAGAGGGAAAAAAAGTTCTATTCCAACTGAATTAAGGTGCAGATAGAAGCATGTCTGGTGCTATTGCTTTTTCCCTTCATTAATTTCTTCATTTACCACTTCTTGAGATCTGTGTGCCAGACTCTGTTCGGGGTGTCACACATGGTGGTAGGGAGCTCCTAGGATGGACTGCAATGTCCCTCATCTCCTGGTTTTCACACCCTTGTACAATAATACTCTTCCCTTGAGTGTGAGCTGAACTTGAAACTTTCTTCTAACAAATAGAATATGGCAGGGGAGATGAAATGTCACGTCTTGAGATTAGGTTGCAAAAAGACTGTGGCTTCCATCTTGGGCTTTCCTTTTCTTGCTCTCAGATTGTTCACTCTAGGGGAACAGCTCCCGTGTCACGGGGGAGCCCTATGGAGAAGCCCACATAGTGAGGAAATAGAGGCAGCCCCAGCCAATGGCCAAAAAGGATTTGGTGCCTTCATTCCATCCGCTCCTACCAACAACTACCTAAGGGAGTGACACTGCATTCAAGCTGAGGGCTCCCCTCAGTTGAGTCTTCAGATGGAACCGCAGCCCTAGCTTACAGCTCAGCTGCAGCCTTGTTGAACCAGAGGCTCCCAGCTCAGCCACACCAGAAACTATGAGATAATAAATGTCTTTTGTCCTCAGTTGCTAAAGTGGGGGGCAATTTATTATGCAGTGATAAATAATACATATTAAATGAAACTATATGAAATTGCTGTTTATTAAGTTTAAAAAATAGTTAAATATCAGCAAATTCTTGTGGGGTCAAACTACTTTATCCAATTCATTACATATTAACATCTTGCAAGCTATGAACATACTATGAACCTCACTCCAAACATGTGGAATTGGGCTCTGAGCGGGTCAGTGATTTCCTGAAGGTTATAGTCTGCATGGGCTGCAGCCAGGACCCAAACCCAGGATCAAGGCCCATCTTCCTAACTGCATCCCCCTTGGACACACACAGTATCCTCCCCCATGCCGGGAATTGTTGTAGGAACCGGGTGACAAGTGAATGGGGCACATCATTGCTGTTAAGAAAACAGCTCCACAACAGGCTTTAAACAAAGAGGAAACCAGAACCGCTGGAGCAGAGTCGATTCGGGGACCTGTGCAATGCCCCTGCTGACTGGAGGGTAGACAGGAAACTCACAGATGTCGCGTGGTAATTATCTCCAGAAGATCAGACCTGTGACATTTCTGCAAGACCGATTCTGCCTCGATTCCTTCCATCTATTAGTCACTATCTCACAATTACTTTGCCTTTTCTAATCAGCAAGCAGGCTTTTGAAGCCCTTTCTTGAACACATTTATCATCTCTAA